CATTTTTATCTACTACCAACATCTAATGCCCTTTTCTATATACATTTCATACAAAATATTTTACAAAGAAGCAGAATCCAACAGACCCACACTAGAGTCTGCACTCTCCCCCTGCTCCTTCAACTCCTCTATGTCCTCATCCAGCCTCTTCAACATCACCTCCTAAAGATCCTCCATCTCCTGATCTCTCTCATCCTTGAAAATCAGTCAGGCCTCCTTCCAGGCCTTCATCTCAGACTCCAAAAACAGCTCTGAAGAAGATGACATATCATTAGAACCATAGTCATCTTGAAGACCTGCCACAGTACTATGAACATCTGCTACCTTGTCTGCCAACTCATCCATGCAATGCATCAACTTGCATATCAATTTTGAAAGTTAGTGGAGACTGGCAGAGACCTCCACACTACTAATCACCTTGCTTGCAGTGACACCCTGGTTGAATGAACAGGCAGTCTTTTTAATCTTGCAACATGCACAAGTCCACCCATATCTGGCACCTTTGGTGGCCAGATGTGCATAACAATGGGCACCATCTTGGTGACAACACATACAGCTTTCTGAGAACAAAAGCTAAGTCAAACCATGTAAGAAAACCAAGACATTTACTTTCACCATCCAACAACTCTTCACCTTCTGCTGGTTCCACCACTTCCAACTTCACCTGCTTCTTGAGACTAGCAACCATCTCTGCCCTACTGCCATCCACTATGCTTCTTGACCTGAACTTGTGTTTACAGTCCTTCTCTGCCAGATCTGCTGCCTTCCTCTTCTCCTCTCACACCCTCTTTTTTCTCTCCAGGATTCTCTCAGATTCTTCCAACTCATTGTCCTTCTTAGTCCCCTTATCTTGCTCATCATTGGACTCCAGAAGCATACAGCCAGTCACCTTCTTGAAATGAAGACTGGGGCCAGGACCAAACTGTTTTGCCAGCACTTGACACAGCCAAAAATCAATAGCCTCCACAGGGGTTATCTGCAATCTATCCTTCATAACCATCTCCTCCTGCCCTACCTCTGAGACTGAAGCTCTTGCTGCAGCCTCTGCAGCCTCTCTCTCCTCAGCCTCCCTCCAAGCTGCCTCTCTCAATGCCTCCTCCACCTTCTTAGCCTGTCTCTCTATGGCCTGCTGGACCTTCTCCCTTTTTCTCTCTAATTTCCCCTTCTGCTCTCTTTTCCACACCTCCTTGGCCACACAGTCTGTCCAGACCTTTTTCTCCTGCTCCTGCTCCTCTTGCCATTCCAAATGGCTCTCTATGGCCTCTGTGTATTCTTCTTCCATGGTCTGCCATTCCAGATGAAATAATTTCTTGGCCTCTTCAGGACCATCAGAGGTGGGTTCCCTCACCAAAGGCTCAGGAGTATATGAACAATGATACACAGCAGGAGGTGACATAGTTAGGGCAATGGTGGTAGTATCTGACCAAGTTGCAAAAAATTCCTATGGCCACCAACAATCTTCTATGTGAACCCACTGGCCATTGGGATCTGCACTCTTGAGGACAAGAATGCTAACAGGAGATACTGTTACACACATGCTGCTGGCCTCTGTGTCACCTCAATACAATCATGAAAACCCACTGGACTCTGGCTGCTCTCTATTACCTATTAATTTTATTTTCACCATTATCATTTCACATCCATATTTCACATTGTAATATCTAGACTCCAAACTCAGTAGCAAATATTGATATCAGAACCCAATGGAATCTGATTCAGAATTAGCTACTATTAGTATATAAAGCCATAGATAACCATTGTAACTACTTAGTTCGAATATCAACTTGGATAAGCCATCTACACTTCATACTCACTTCAACTCCTTCTTACCTCATCCATTGGATTTCACTCCAAAGGATACTCCTGTTCATTTCTCCAATGGAACTCTGTTCTGTCTATCCAGATCTTTAGGCTCTGACTCAAGGGTGATGTTGCTAATAGCTTCATTGACACCCATGAACTCTGCTGGTCTCCACACATGCACTCAAGCTCACTCAATTAGCACATTTCTAACACCCAACCCCTGTGTCTCTTCTGCTGCTGCATGCTCCTTGCTTCTTCAGTTTATGGTGATATTGGCAGAAGTTTCAATAGAAGCAGAAATTGAAGAATAGTTCTGTGACTCTTCCACCAAAGAATTGTTGAAGGCTGTAGTCACTGATGTAGACATCAGGAGAGACTTGAAGTCTATAGGTGTTGAGAATAGATTCAGCATCTGAGAAAATGGTATCTTGCTTGAGAGCATTAGTATCTCTGAGAGGAGGGGGATAGTTGTTATATTACATTGCTTCACTGATGGTGACAACTTCAGTGGATCCTGTTCATGAGTCTGATGTTGCTGTGCTAGGCTCCCAGAACAGGAAGCCTGAGGATTCTGTTCTGAGCCTATATCACTCTAGGAAAGCAGATTCTCAGATGGCAGCCTCAAGCTTGTGCTGGTGCCTTTGATGCCCTGCATTATACTGGCTGGCTTTATGTTCTTCTTGCTGGCAAGCATGTTCTGCTTCTGTGTCTTCAGGCCATAAGGCCTATTTAATGTTGCTTCTATATTTGGAGCACCTGAAGAGTTCTTCAGTCTGATAGTCCTCACTGTGGGATCTGAAATCTAAGAGCCCTCTGCTTCTATAGTCAATGTGAATGGAGGATGTGGGGCTTTCTTCCAGGGTTGCATAGAGAGAGCTATATCCAGAGCTTGGAGCCATCCAAGGGGCATCAAGAGAGTCTCAGGCACAGGTGCCAATTTCATGCTTAGATAAGATAGTAGAAGAGTCAGAGGATGGCTCAGTATCAAAGAAGTTATCAGAGAGATCCTCATCCTTATGGTCTGAGACAAGAGGGAGGTTTGAGATTTGTCAGTCATGTCCACAGATTCTAGAACCCAGTGTGCTGAGTGTCACTGTTTCTACTGTCTGGTCAGTGAGGTTCTGGGAGATATCAGTATTCTTCTTCCTCCTCATGAGTTCATGAATCTGAGCCATCAGATTGGGCTTTAGGTATAGTTCCAAATATAGGCTGGAAGAAGGCTCAAGCAGAGGCTGAAATATTGTAAAAGAGAAGATCTGAAGTGATATTTCATAGAATCTGCTGTATATCCTCAGCTTTGAGCTAATTGTTAAGCCCAAGTGATATGTGACCTAAACATGTGATAAATAAGTGCTGTATCAAGTTTATACAGTTACACCTAAATTCACTTCTGTGCTTATATGGTGTTGTGTCTCATAGCCAATATAAGTTAGCTCAAGGTAGAATGATGAAGAATAAACTTTAGCTTAAAGCTGGAAATATATAGTAAGAGCTATTCTACTTATATACCATTTGTCTTTGAGATAAATATATACCTACTAATTGTGTGTTTTTAAGCTATAGTGCTTGTTGTTTTTGTTATAATTTTTCTCTTTTTCTTTGTATTAACCCCTATTTATGCTTAGTCAGAGTGCCTAGACCAGTGCTTAGGACTGTAGAACTGACTTAATCATCACAATAAGCCCAGTTGGTCATTGTCTTTTGATGCAACAGCATCACCTGACAATGCATAATAAGACTTTTGTAAACAGTAATAACATTCAAGGACAAAGAGCACAAAGAGCACAAAGGACACAATAAGTAGTAGTATTTATATCACTACAGACAAACTGTATATAAGTAGGATAGCTCTCACTGGTATAACCTCAGCTTTGAGCTAAAGTTTATTCATCTACCATCCTACCTTAAGCTTAACTTGCAATGGCTTTAAGACACAAAGTCATATAAATGCATAGTGAACTCAGACATAACTGTATGAAGGCAATACAGCATCTGTTTATCATGTGTTTGGGTCATATGTCACTTGGGCTTAACAGTTTTTGAATGTCACAAGTATCTATAAGAGAGTATTGTTTCTTGTTGAAAGATATTGTTATGTCAGAGGACAATAGCTGATTCAGCCCATTATAGTGACTTAGCCTGTCCTATGGTCCTAAGCACTCTGACTAAGCATAAATAGGGGATAATTGAGAAAGAAAATAGAAAAATCATAACAACAGGCAACTATTATCTGTTTTTCATGCCCTCTGCTCATTGTCTGGAATAACAGTGACTGTGCCCTTGCTTTTGTTTGTTATTATCACTTTGCTATACCATCACTATAGTGAGTTTTTCATATGCCACAGTTTCTATTGTGTTAAAGATGTGAGACAGTGATAGTTACCACATTGTTCCTTATCATCTTATTGTGCATTGATGAATAAGATGTAGCCATGGTGTTATTATGTCTTCATCATCTTTTGTAAGGTTGGTCTGGGGTCAGGATTGGTAAACATTTGCTTATTAAGCATTAGCAGGTCATGATTTAGGGGCAAAAATCATGACATTGGGTCTTAAGATCTTAAATATGCCTGTTGGTGTGAAGTGAGACATATTGGTTTATATGCCATCCTTTCCAAACAGATCCATGAACAGGAGATCATGAAGCTGGGAGACATGCTCTAGTGTTGAAACTTGAGAGATAAATGCAGGCAGTGGCCCATCAAAGCATCTGCCCATGAGCCAGACATAATCTGCTGGAGCAGAAGCAAAGGTTAAGATATTAAAGAGTGGGATGTTGTTGTGACATTTGGCAATGGTTCTGGTATTTCTGGTATAGGGTTGTGACTGGTCCAGATCTAGAATATGCTTGATCTGATTCTTTATTACAGCTTCAGTGGAAATAGCATATCTAGGTATAGAGAATATATCAATATGAGCTGATGAGCCATCAACTTCTGTTGCAAGTGCATATGTCTATAGTGAGAAATCCATTGGTAGTTTTTCAACCATAATAGAGTGTTCCAATTCTCTTTGAGAGGAAAATAGGTCCTTGCTTAAGAAAAATTTACATGAGAATCAAAAAGTGAGTGTGGCTCATGCATGTGCAGATTAAAGCTCATGTGTTCATATGGCCAGGAGAACAGAGACTTCCCCCTCTTGTGGATAGAGATTACCATTTCTATCCCAGTGTTTGGATCATAGATTGTGAGGATCTGCTATCCATTAGTGCAGTTGTCAATTTTGATTTCACAGAGCATAGAGAATGGTCTTTCCAGTATGACATCATATGCTGTGTTTTCCACAATATGCACTTGCAACAGTACTTTCAGACCTTTGAAGGTGAAGGGCACATTTCTGCAGAGTCCCAAGAACCATTCTATTTTTCTGTTTGCACTGGTAAGTGCAATTTTAATGGTCAGATCCAGAGGCAATCTGCATTGGTGCCATATCACAGTGGACATAGCTACTACTTGATATCCTTTGTCTAGTATAGACTCCACTTCATGCAGCTCATCAATAACCAGTGTCAAGGCCCTTAGGCCCTCTGCTTCATCTGCTATCATAATGTGTGCATGCTGACCTGTATGCAGATACATGATCAGCAGCTGGTCATTTTCAACTGCTGCTGCTCTAGTTTTTCCAACTTCTATAGGTACTTTGCAGTTGGTCAGAGCCTCTTTTAGCTTGTTATAGATCTCTGGACTTTTTCCATATAATCTCTTGATGAAAACCTCCAGTCTGGAGTCCAGTACATATTTATAGAGGTCATCTGTTGTTTCTGATTGAATTATAGGGGCTGTATGCCTATACTGTTTCTGATAATCCTTCCTTGGGTCAGCTGGCACCTTCACTTCTTTACTACTTGTTTCTTCAGCTGGCATGGCCTGCATTTTAGAAGCTTCATTGGCTACATCCATCTCTTTTACAAGCAGATACACTGGGTCTTGAACATATGGTTCACTAGTAAAGAGAACAGAGGTAGATGGCTGATTGGCCTCAACAGATAGTATGACAACCTCTACTTTCTTGAAGAGCTTGCCTGGCTTTTTACCCACAGACTTCAAGTTTCTCTTGGTCTTAACCCTGTCCTTCAGAATCTGCTCAAGCACTCTTATGGCTTGATCTTCTTTGTCCTCCTTAGATTCTGATCCTGACTCTTCATTCAGACAGGCCATAAGTTGCAAGATGCAGACCTCTGTATGTTTCTCATATAGATCTGCAAGCTGAGAAGGGGTGATCATTGCATACATATTGATGTTTCCTGCCTTTGGCCCAAACCCAGGTGGATACATTAGATTTTCCATACCCATACAGTGCTGGGTTGATATCATATTGATGACTGTGAATGAATCTCTGTTATCCTCATGCTACTTTTCTATCCACTGTCTGAGGTAACCATTTTCTCTGAGTAGCTCAGACCTATCAGGCTCGACTAGCTTCTTTTTGATATGATTGTACTTGATCAGCCTTTTTTTCTAGTCTGCTTTCTTGGCTATGCAGTCTCTGTAACTGGCTGGCATCACATCTATTATATCCACATTTCTTGCCTGGGTTGTTTCTGTCCATCAGCTTGTTGATGGCAGCTAGGAGTCTATCTTCCATAGTCTGCTCAGTTTTACCTCTGGATCTCAACTTCTGGATGACTGCTAAAAGCCTTTCTTTCACAATGGACTCTGTTTTTAGGATTACATCCAGCTGATTGTTAGAGGAGGATGTGGCTTGAGGAGTGGATTGTGACATATGTGGCTGCACATACCTACATAAATTGTAGTATGCCAGAGGCAGGCCCATAGTTATGGTCTTAGAGAGCTGGTCTATGATGTCAGAGATATTTCCTCCTGGCATTACCACAGGCTGCTGTCCATATGGCAGTAGCAGTAGTACAGCTGGTGTCTGGCTTACTGATAAACTTGCTTCTGGCATAGATAAGAGTTCCAGATTGGCAAAAGGCAAAGTAGCTGGACTGAGATTAACATAGGGAGACCTGTAGCTTTTTAGCTGGTATTTGGAAGCTTTACAGACCTCCTCTATAGGGAATAGTTCCACTGGATTCTGATGTGAGAATAAAACAGCTAATCTCTGGTCCACTATTAGTCATAGCATTGGGTGGAGAGTGGAGATGTACATCCTTGCATACTCATGCTTTGAGAGGAGTGGATCCACTGCAGTGGTGAGGTCTAACCCAATATTTTGGATATACCTGTCAAATTGCCCAAATTCATCACATGTAGCAATAGATGAAGCCTTAAGGATCCTAGCAGCTTCCTCTAAATATATGAATGTGTATCTCCATATCTCATCAGATTTCAGATAGAAGTCATAGCATTCTCTTTTGAGGGTGCCCCATATGGCTCCATCCCTAGTAGCTGGATTGGCTTGAGGCAGCCTTCTCCACAGATCCACAGCTATTGGATCCACATATAAAATGGCTGCTTAGATGAATTGCCAGTCAGTTTTCTATCCTATGCTTTTGCATGTCTGTTGAACTTCTTCAAATAAGATTGGTAGAGTCATTGAGTCTTCTGGTCCTTTCCACCCCCCAGCTGGAGGCATTCTCAGATCCTCTAATAGGCAGCTGGTAGCCCATAATGTGTGGTTGTTGTTGATCTGCTATGCCAAAGTAAAGGTGAAATTATCAGTTTCTGGATCAGCAGTAGATCCTGGTGATTAGAAAAAGAGTCAGTGTAGGTGAAGGACCTGATGTTTCCTCTTCATCTGACCAGGTTCTGATCTGATTGTGCTCTGATGAGTAAGGCCAATATTGCTGTGGGTCTGATGCAGACCTCAGATAAGTGGATGTTTCTATTACTTGGCTTGTAGTGAGTGGTATTGGAGATATTGGTGATAGTGGACTTGACTCCTCTAAGATTCTCCTGAGCTCTTCTTTATATGCTGAGGTGAAAGATGAGTCCAAATAGAAGTGATGTGACTTGTTGTCTGATACAATCTGAAAGAGGTCCTCTTCAGTGTCTATCCTGAAGCTGATGGCAGCTCATGCAATCATCCTCAAAGCTTTCACTTCTCTTCATTGCAGAGTGGAACATAGAGTGCTTCTTCTACCAGCAATTTTTGGATTTATTTCTCCTCATAGTGAGCTCTAATTGTAAGGCTAGCAAACTCTCTGATATAAGAAGGATGCATCTGCTCTTCAAGTTTTTTTATAATCACAAGGAGGAAATCCAGCTGCTCAGAACAGACCCAACAGATTCCACCTAGAGCAAATAGCTCTTTGATAGAATGAGCTCTGGCTTTCACTCCTGAGAGCAGATAAGCAGAATACAAGTAGAATGTGAAAAGGATAAGGGAGAAATAACAAGGATTGCTCTAAGCTGTCTGCTTGCACAATACCAGGCTCAAAGGCTTCTAGGTATGCTTATAGCTTCAGCTTATAGATGACTAGCAGAATTTTATTTCTTAGCTTTATACCATAAAAGTTAATCCTATTCTATCTACAATATTATCCTTTAAATACTGAGATCCCAAAGATCTGTTTCTCCATCAGCTGTGGCTTCTATAAGTGCCTAGGCCACTCTCTTTTTGGTCTCCATCTGATTCAGACTAGCATAGTACCATCAATTCTCTCCATGGGTCTGCTATCCATGAGCAAATCAGCTATGCCTTCCATATCTGGTGCCTCATCAAATAGCTTTATAAGGGCTATTTATGTCCAATCCATCTCTGATCAGATCATCTCTCCACAGAAAAAACAGTCCACAGAGTGCATTGGAAAGAGAAAAGTATTCTAGGCTTAGAGCATAAAATTCTTAAACTGATATATTGTGGCAAATATAGAACCAGTGGCAGAGATAAGAGACTGAACTAGAGGCTGCAATGCTGCCTGGAATGCAGATGCCTGTGCCAGTGATAATTTTTTGAGGGCAGCCTGGAGGTCATTGACAGTAGCACCAGGTACTTTCTTTGTATGAGTTTTCAGCATGTTCTTCACTAGAATAGGAGTGTCAGCATCTGAATCTGAGATTTCACTGTCAAAGCTGGCCTGTTTCTTCTCTTTATGGTGATAGAAACAGCTGGAAGGATCATCAGTATCAGAGTCAGTATCATATACAGTAGAGTGTAACCCAGTGACCTGCCTCTATGACTTTTTTGATTGATGAAGGCTTATCTTGATTTTAAGCAGAGTTAATGTGACAAATGTGGTCCTCAATATATTTTCTAGTATAGTAGGCAAAGCCTTTCTAAAAAGTACATCATTTCTCATTCTCTGCTATGATATCCTTTTTATGCAAAGCCTTAGCAATAGGCTTGAACTGTCTATAGTAATATTCCAGATCTTCAATCTTTATCATCTCATGGTGGTGTCACTTCTTGGCAAGATCCAGAAACTCACATAAGGAGTGCCTATACTGTCAAGAGATGTAAAATTCCTCTATGAGATCAGCTTTGAATGTGTTCCAGTTGCACTTAGCTAAATCATCATAGTATCCCTTAGATGTTTTCCAGAGCTGCTTGGCTTCTGAATTGGCATAGTGCAAGATTGCATGCACATGCTCCTAGTCTGAGAGAGTGTGAATCTTGGCCAAGTGGTCAAACCCCACTAAAAAATCATCAAGCTCATCCAGATCCAATGAAGAGAATCTAGAAGCCTCTTTCAAGTATAGGACAGACATTGAGCCAATGCTACATAGTGCATGCATGATGGAGATGACAGTAGATATAGTGAGGGTGATGACAGAGATAATGTTGGAGGCTGGAGCAGTTGTAATAGAGATAGCAGTAGTGGCAGAAGCAGGTGCAGCAGCTGGCTTCAGTGGCAGAGATGCTACAGATGGTAGAGTGAGCTCACTGGCAAAGCAGAAACATTGAAGATGGCCAGAAAGGGCAGCTGAGATGGCAGGAATTTGAGCAGTTGCTGGCTGAACACAGGTATGAGCAGCATGCAAGAGCCATTCTGGGTTGTCAACTGAGAGTGTAAGGTCCAAGTCATGAGCTTGATGACAGGTGTTAGGAAGGCCAGAGAGTACTGATGACATTTTGGATATGCTTAAAGGGTTTGTAGGTGGGTGTCAGTTCAAGTTGCAGTGGGCCTCAGATATAGGTAGAGTAATGAATATGCATGTATATTGAGAGAAGAGAGCAAGTGAGAGAGAAGAAGAAAGATGCTCTATTGATACCAAGCAGCTATAGACTTATACTATTTGTAGAATGGCATATAATGAAACAAAGATAACTGCCAAAAGACAATGAAAGAATATTAAAAGAAAGGATGTTAGGCTTTTACTAACACTCACAAATCTCTAGCATCACTTCTGCCAGAGTCTGATTCTAGATGCTGAGTCTGAGTCTGGTTTCAATATAACAGTATGATGAGGATGATAAGATAAGCTATAAGAATTTTATGGAGAGAGATAAAGAGTTGTGGCTGATAGATATAGTCTGCTGTTATGGTAAGAGTATTCACATCAGGTAGTCAGAGAGTGTAGTAGATATATTAAACCTTAGCTCAAGACTGGAGTACATCAGTGTGTACTACTGCCTTATATACTGTCTAAAGAACCCTATGCTCTACAGGCAACTATTGTCTGTTTTTCATGCCTTTTATTTATTGTCTGGGATAACAATAACTGTGCCCTTGCTT